AACAGTAGGGGTCCTAGATTTGATCCTTGTGGTACACCAGATGTGGCTATATATTCGATAGACTTGAGGCCATTGATTTGGCCGTACTGCTTATTGTCAAGTCGAAAGCTTGTTGAGCAGGATAATATGGTCAAGTCTGTCGAACACTTTAGAAAAATCAGTGTAGATGACATCAGTCTGAGACTGACAATCAATACCCTCTGCAATACAAGATTGTTACAAGATTGGTGGTGGTTGAACTACTTTTCATGAAACCGTGTTGATTGAAGCTGTCACATGACAATAGATTGTCCTCTCAAGAAGCATCTATAACACTTTACAAAAGTTGCATATGATAGAGATTGGTCTGTAATTTTTTATCTCCTTTTTTGAAAATTGGGCACACTTTCGACATTTTCCATATTGATGGTACAGTTGATGGTACAGTTTTCAGGCATATATTAATTAGAGTTGATAGTGGTTAAACCAGAGCTGAGGCACAATCTTTAATGATGAATGCTGGAACATGATCGGTAAATTTAGGCGTTAATTTTTTTAAGGTATGATAAACATCTTCAATACTAAAGTTATGATACTAAAATTACTAAGCTGGGAATATCACTACTTTTGTTCGCATGGTCACTTGATGTTGACACTATATAAGAACCACTGAAGAAATCTGCAAAACCATCAAGAATATCTGAGGGATTATCGAGTAGCTTGCCTTCATGTAACATTTCATCTCAGATTCCATTCGTATATTTTGACTTGTTAATGAATGACCACAACTTATTAGGGTTATGGATAATCTCGCTCTCAGTTTTCCGAATGAATTTTTTACAAGCCATTCTAATGAGTATGAGTGCATAGATTGATTGCGAATTGTAATATCTGTACGTTTAGGTTTGTGATACATTAAAAATTGTGTTTGTTGTTTGAGAGGCAGATATTCAAATCTAGGAAGTTAAGTGAATTCTGATCGTCTTCCATTTTCATTGCGACTTCTATATTAGCACTGAGGCTGTTGAGATTAGCGAAAAAACTTTTAAAACTGACGTATCGTTCCTTAGTGCATAACCTAGTAAAATACATGATTCCTTGGGTAATTATTGAGGTGCTGTTGTTATGATCTAACAGGTCATTGAGGATATCCATTGTTAACGGAACTGGGATACTAGAAAATAGGTTTATAGGTATTATCGAGTTTGATGTCTTCTATATTATCTATCAAGGAATTCGAGTTTTCACTGCTATATTTTGAATTGAAATTGGTGAACTTTTGAATTATTTCGACTAACTTGGATGCAACGTTTTGGCAAGGGGCATCGATATAGGAGCAGACTGGTTTAATAGGGTTGCCTTCTTTATGAACTTTTAGTAACCTATAGAGAGAAAGTTGGGTTTTTATCTGTTTTTGAAATTGTACATGCTTCATTTTCGTGGAATATGTGCAAGTGGAACATGAGATATCGTGAACGACGTAGATGTTTAGAAGCATTTTGACATAAATTTTATCTGTTTGTTACTTGGTATATTTCACGTTATTTCGATATGTGTAATTTATGGTCTAGACCCAAAAACTATTGGTCTCTACTTTTTTGAGGTAGCTCTGAGCGGAAATTGTATGATCATACAGTGATTATTTGAGAAACGTGGGATATATACGAAACTGAATTAGCTTATGAATTCTGCAGTAGATTTTGTGATTGGATGAAATCTGAGCCCAAAGATTTAGTAGTTTCAAACTGCTTTACTACTGAAACACTAATGTCACGTCTTGGTACTCCTTGATACTTCTTCAGGCTAAAGAACTCCCACTGAAAAGGTAACAATGCTTGACATTTGTGAATATAAAATTTCTCGCCAATCATATCTAACGATAACAAGTCTTGTGCTGTCTGAGTCGTCCTTCCTGACTTTCATAGAGGCAGTGATTGTCAGAGCTTGTAAAGCTTTAATTAGACGTATTGTTAATCTTTACTTTCATAACTATTCATCAGCTTTCATTTTAGCTTCATAATTTAGTATTTCTTTCTGTCACTATTTTTTTGAAACGCAAATATGTTGATAAATCTTTTTGGATATGGATTATCATTCTTTCTCATCATACAGAATTTAATGTGCATATTTCAGTAATTTCTGAAAGAATGATAAACCCTATAAACATGCCTATAAAGAACGAAATTATGAGCGAGCTTGAATGAAACTAGTAAAAAATACTAATAAGTACATGCCGATCATGAAAAAATAATTTTTCAGCCATGAAAATTTCAATTTTCAACCAAAAATTCACTAAGCTAAAAACGGGAGGACATAGTATCAGTGGATTTGCTATTGCATATGATACAACAAATATCATGAGTATTCATAACACTAAAAAGTTTGATTATCGCCATTCGATGCATGTTCTCTACTTTCCATAAAGCTTCCAAATTTCCATACGATTTCAAATTTGGTCTCGAAACAAGTCAACATCAAAATAAATCGCTACCAAATTCCTCTACTCCAAGGTCACATGGCATTTACTTACTCTATACTTCAAAATCTCCAATAGTGAATTTATTTTTGAGCGTGTTTGTCGTCGTAATACAGGGGCCTTCTGGACTTGTGAGCTGTTCCTGTACGATATACAGGAACACAAATTGATTAGCAAACTACTCGGTTCGAGGAACTATTCAAATAATGATTTCGTTGTTATGTCGTGTCCCAATATCATAGTGAAGACGGAGTCTTATTAGAAACAGTTCATTATTTCTATATAGGTTTCCTGTCATAACGTGTTTGTGATTTACTTTCCTCCAAGTACTATATCAGATGAAAGTTTTTTTATGTTATTCAATTACAAGAGGAGTATAACATTTTTTTTTATTCCTAACTAGATCAATGTAGCAATGGTAAGAAACTATTTGGATGACAGATTTTGGAATGATTGGGTTAAAACAAGAAATCCACTCGAATAGGCCCCTAGATCTCCAGATTTGAATCAACTGGATATGTATTTGTGAGTATATCTAACAAATGAGGTGTAAGATGATACTACAACTTTTACTGTAGAACTGTTTCGAATGAAAACATAAAATGCTTTGAGAAGCATTGAAAACCTCTTTTCAAAAGTTTGGAACTTGAATTGATAGAGTGCATATTTTGAAATGCTAAATATTTTGAAATAGTTCTTAATAATACATGTTCTTTCTCAAATTATGGATTTTTTTCTATAAACAATGTGTGGTTTTGTACTAACTGATGATATTCATCTCTCATTGAATTTACCCTAATGAGGTGCTTAAAAAGGTAGTTTAGTTCTTTGAGTCAATTGCCTGCCAGAGACATATACTCAAAAAAGTTGATATAAGAGTAAATAATCATAATATAATCATCAATATAATCTTAGTTCTTCACCTATAGAGTTTCAGGAGCACGGAGCTATGCAATATTTACTGCCTCCACGAAATATGTCACAACTTAGTAGACTTTTTAAAATATTTTGCTGTGTCAACTACGGAATACTCTTTGACTGATAGTTTCTCAAGTATAGAACAAAAATAAAAGCAGAAGCACAAGCTAGAATCGGCTAGAACCGACCAGCCGGACCATCGCGTTAGTGTTCGAGAACGATCTGGATTGCTTTGAACGGGATAAATACGCAACATCAATATAATCTTCGTTCTTTACCTATTGAGTTTCAGTAGAACGGAGCTATGCAATATTTACTGCCTCTACAAAATATGTTACAACTTAATAGACTTTTCAAAATATTTTGCTGTATCAACTACGGAATACTCTTTGACCGATAGTTGTTCAAGTATAAAACAAAAGTAAAAGCAGAAGTACCCCAAGGTTCAGAACCAGGACCCACCCTTTTTCTACTATATGTAAATGGCCTGGCTATTGTACGTATGCCTGATAGTTTCAACGTTTTTGCGAAAATATTCTTTCCCAATCGATTTTTTCCATTAATTTGATTTGTATCCCAGCAGCTAATCTTGAAACTAATAGCATTCTCTGCAGCAGAGCTTTACACAATTCAAATGAATTTTCTGAAGATAACTTAGACACAAAATCTGCAAGTTTATCACTGTTAACGTTTCAACTTTTTTGTAGTGTCTTCATTGGCGTTATTTTCTTCAGGCACAGCATTACATATTTACAAGCATACAGGAAGCCCATGTGCTCACCAAAGAAGAAAACGGCAAAAACCCGGAATCCAATCGAACCGTGAACTTGTATTACATAATTGAATAAATACCGAATTTCAGGTCAAAAATGGGCGTCAAAAAGAAGTTATTCATTCAACGAAACACATATATCTCTCTAGTTCCTCAAAGGTTTTCTCAAAAATGATAATTTGAATAATGACCTTGTCTTCTATCTTTGAGAAACGAAAGCTCACTTCATTATTTATTTTCGACATACCAAACTCCACCATCAAATTTGAATAGTTCCTGGACAATGGAATATTTTTGAAAACAAGTACTAAATAGTCCAGTCATTATAGTAAGTTCACCTCGGAATTCGAGATACCTAGCTGTAAGTCTGTAAATACTTGTATATTGACACCCTTAAAGTTGTCTCGAAACCTACATATGGTAGGGTGTAAGCAACTATCAAATTTCATGGTCAAAGGTCAGAAAAATCGGTTTTTTGCGCTTTTTTTGGAAATATCTCATTTCCTATGGGTTTTTTGCTATTTGTATTCATTATCAATATTGTAGAATACAAAATTCTCTACAAATTTTGTTTGAAAAAATTTTTTATACGGTGAACCGTTTTCGAGATATAGGGCGGAGAGCGCGCGGTCACAGCATCACTTCAGGTCAACC